GCGCCGGCAAACGAGGTGGTTCCAGGTCGCGGATGGTGACAAAAGCAATGTAGAAACCGAAAATAGTATAAACGTCTACAATCCTCGTAGTCCACGTGAAATCCGGTGCTACGATCGACAAACAGAAGTTAAGAAAACGGCGCGCCCATCGCAGCGCACGGCCGTGCGGCAAATTACGATTCCCTTGCCCGTCTCCCTGTCGCAACAACGCCACATTGTGCGACGTGGGAGCGAGGGGCATGATGTTCCTACATGAACTAAGCATGTTGGAATATGTAACGCTAAGAGGTAAGAGGTTGCTGATGAGAAAACATGAGCGGGTCATCCTCATTAAAGGGTTGCCCATCTTGACGCACATAATGGTTCAAGGCAGTCCCGCGCTAGAGAAATTCGTAGGCGCCTTTCTTTGACAGATAGTCTGGCCCTCATTCTCTAGGTTTGTTCCACTTTCGTAGCTTCACAAGCTGACAAAGGCGCTGCAGCTCTCATAAGTGGCAGTCTGGCGCTTCCCCAGTTGCCCCGCCCACCAACACTCAAAGTCTATCTCAAGCTCAACTCTACACGGTGTTTCGTTTTTTCTACTGTTAGATGGTGTTAACACTGGATGAATGATTACTGAGCCCAAAGGGAGGATAACGATTTGCTACCATGAAAAGAGTAGGATAGAACAACTCGTACAATGAGGCCTATAGGGGAAGGGGGGAGTTACGGTGTTCTCCATGATTTCTTGCTCTTTTCTTCCACGGAAGGTCAATGAGAGAGTGTAGGTTCGCTACTGATACCAATACCGACAATATGCAATTGCGGGGTTGGTTCGATAAGAGCAGCATTCCGGGCATGTGAGGTTCTGCCACAGTTACTACGAGCCGTTCGTTGCACTGGCTTTGTTTTACTTTTTATACCGATTCCATTTTTATTATTTCCTTTTCAATGGAACATTTGCATTCAACTGGTCCTTTTCAACAGAAATTTATGGAACATGCACGATACCTGTCATCTACCAATCGCACTCCTATCACTTTGAATGTGTCGCCATCAGACTGCAGCTTTTCTTGAATATCTGACAACGCACGGACGTCGGATCTTGGTCCAACTCCAGAGATCAGTACTTTGCCCTTGCAGCACCATTGGGCGTCTCCAGTACCTAATCCCATCCCATACAATCCCCTTCGTGATTCTCTGCATTTTTCCAATCTTTGAACTTTTCACGGTAGCAAGGTGTGAACGCGGTAAAAAAGTTTACATCAGTTTTTGTTACTTGTTGTTAGTTGTTTAAATAATGGTGACGATTTGGCGCCTAATGGAGTCATTTAGCGCTGACGTCAAGCGATTATCGCTGATTAGGGGACAAATAATAACTCCATGAAGCCCTAAACAAAGAGATTAGATGTGTAGTCCTCACCTTCATGGGGTATGTCTGGATTGAAATGAGTGTTGAATCCATTTTGTCGAAACCACTGGTCATTGAATTTCCACTCGGCTTTTCGTTGTTCATGCATGAAGTTCGCCAAGTAAACCTGGCCTTTGCGAACTATCGCTGCATTGGCGGTGAAGACGAGATCTGGAAGGTTCTCGCGCCCTGAATGCAAAACAGTGTCACTATGATGCCGTAGAATTCAACCTTTACAGAATGCCACTCTATCCACGACCACATTCACCCGTCTCCTTACCCTTTACCAATGATCCTAAACAGAGCGTTACTGGCTCCTTCCAAACGAATAGCTGATTGACGAGGTTGAATTTTATTGCCAAGGGCTTTTCTCTGTCCAACCTTGTGCCACTCAATGAATCCTTTTCAGAATCGCAGGAAAGCTAGACTGCGTGCAAGGCGGCAGGAAAACGCGCGGTAAGCGCTTTCCCATTTACAAATACTTGTCCAAACCTGAGAGAGATTCGAACCTAGACTGGCACCACTGCCCGTCATTCTCCCGATTTTAACCCTGATGCGCAGGTATTCAAGAAAAATTCCTCAAAAGAGAAAGGGGGCCATGTGTCTTGAGATATAACCCCAGTGAAACGCAGCAACGCCATGCTCCGATGCGACGAGCCCACAAATCATGAAGTCTACGAGAGAGTGCGGTTAGAAGACGACATGCTCTGACATTGGCTAAGAACCACGTTGAGCATGTCACGCTTTCTCTATAAGAAGTTGCAGACGAGCAGAAATGACATGGTTCGGCTCGTGGTGTCTCCTCTCGAGACACAGGAGAATTCCAAACAGTACCTCTGGTGGCTCCATAACTTCAACCGTACCGCCACAATTTTCTATGGTCTTTTTCAATGTGTTCCATTGATCCATCGCCTTTTTGGTATCGACGGGTTTATTCACCGACATCCAGGGATTAATTGAGTAAAAAACCTTCAAATAGCTCCTTCTCGAATAAGACAAATATCGTTTAGATTTGAACTCACATCAAAGTATGTTGGTCTACACATTAATATACGGCAAGTTGCCTTCTGTAACATTCTTCGTAACTGTAAGGAAAACTCCCACCGTTATTACCAACTAGCAATGAAATGAACTCTACCAAATGTCTAATCTGATAGGAAGTAATACGTGGATGAATATTCTGATCCTGCTATCTATCAATGAAGCAATCGATCCATTCTATTCCGAGGATCGAGTCTCGAATCAGATTCGCTCAGAACAGCCAAGCCTTCTGTTCCTTCAGAGTACGTCATGGAGGTGTGGAAATTGTCAGCCTCATCACGACACCTTTCAGAAGAAGGTCTCAATGTCTCGATGCGACCACCAGTTTCAGAACGTACCGCACAACCCCACCCATACCCCAGCATACGGTGAATATTCC